CAATGCCAAACTCGGCAAAGGACAACTCGTCCAGCTCTAACAGAGCACTTACTGCGGGTATTGCTGAAAGAGCCACCGGCTCTTCAACATCCCCAGTCAAACCATTGACGAGTGTATATAGCTGTTTGCTATCACCGTCACTCACGATATCATTATCGCTACTCATGATGCTCTCAGCATCCGACGCATCAGCGTCCACAGGTGTACGTACACACCTCAAGGTCAAAGACCACTTCGTTTACTGACTGCACCCCACCCTCTTGGGCCAATGCCTCGTCATGAGGTGTTTGCACCTCGTTGTCCTCAAAGACAACCGTCATTTTTGACTTCACCCGACCCTCTTGGGCCAGTACCTCGTCTCTTGGTGCTTGCACCTCGTTATCCTCAAAGATAACATCCATTGATGACTTCACCCGACCCTCCCCAGTTGGTCGACTCGTTTCCTCAAGACAACACATGATGACTTCACCCGGCCCCCCAGGGTCAGTTCCTCGTCACCCATGTCACTTGAACTCACGTACTGACATCTTGGCTTGCAGCCACCAACACCACTCTACGGTATTCAATGATGTAACATCATTCTCATGACACATGTCATATGTGCCAACTAGTGGGTTCTAAACCACACTATCGATAGTCATTGGGCCTCGCCCAGGACTATTGTCCTCGACACTTACAGTGTCTACAAAGTCGGATATTCCGACATTCAACATATTGACCGACTCAGTCCAATATCCGCGCCAAAAGCGCTTTTGCTTCCTAGCTGAGGTGGGTTCATGACTCTCCAGAGCCCCACCAGGAGCATTGCGCGTTGCGCCTAAGGTCTTCGGCCTCCAATCAATCCATGGCTCATGACGTTCTAGCCATGCCATGCCTAGGATGAGGTGATACCTCGCATCTAGGTCTAAGGCCAAACAGCGTTCCGTACTGTTAAAGTCCAAAAACTTTACATTTAAGTCCATCGGTACTTTTGGGTACCGTAACACGCGTACCCGTCGCTAAGCGAACTGTGACTGTGTCACTTTCACGCGCTACAAGCGCTTCAGCATACTGCTGACTACCTTTCACGGTAACACGGCGCACATAATTGCCCGATGCCCCCGAATCGATCAAAATGATCCATGGCTTATCATAACCCTTAACCGTCCCTTCGACGACTAGCAAGCCTGGCTTGCATTCTCGTTCCGTTTTTGAAAGTTCGGGTCTCTTTGGGGCTGGGCCCTGTTTACTTCTACCTCCTAGAGGTTCAACAGAACTCAGTTCTTCCCCAGTAGGGAGTCCCGCGCCTACTGAGTTCCGCCGTTTCCCCGCGGCAAACCAGAAGGTTTACCCATGGGGCGTCGGCCCTTCGAGGCCAAATATGCCTTTCTTGCAGGGCATTTTGCCATCAAATGGCCTGTGTGCAGATATAACATTTGCGCACAATTTGCTGCTCCGCAGCTTGAATCTCAGCTTCTTCACCACTTGACTACAGTCCATGGGTACAGACCCATCAGACGAGTAGTTATAAGTGGCAGGCCTAGCGGCCTTAAAGTTGGTCTCGGCATTCCATGCCACTCCAACAGCTTCCTCGAATGAGGACGGGCTTACCCGGAAGACTTCCGTTCTGGCAACGCCAACTCGGAGGCCCTCCATGAAGACCGTGACGGTCACTGCCTCAGGCATAGGGTCTATGACCATGGCAGCAATGAGAGTTCTCAACTCTTGTACATATGCCGCAAGCTCACGCTTGCCTTGGCGACACGCCAAAAACCGCGACCGGTTACGGTGTGCTTGGTTTGGCGGTGCATACTGCCGGGTCATCTGAACTTTCAGATCGGCCCATGTGGGAAAAGCGTCTTGCAATGATGCACCCAATGTGAATGCCCACTGTTTGGCTAAGCCACCTAACTCGCTCGTGGCAAAGCCCACACCGTACGGTTCATAGGTGATGCCGGCTATAAACATAGCCGACTCAACCTGTCGGAACCAAAGCATAAGGTTGTCACCTTCTTTTCCGTCGAACTTATCGACTTTCATTTGTATGGGTTTTGGTCTGCGGACCACTTCTTGCGCCATAGTCGCCATGGGCGAAGGCGCAGAAGAAGGCATCTCTGCCTTTACATGCTCGACTAGAGCTTTATTATATTCATCAAGCATATGAATACGCTTGTTAACCTCTTCTTCGCCCTGGGAGATGAGGTATTCCACGCCTTTAGGGCCAAGTATAGGGAGCAGCTTCTACATCCCTTCCTGTTGTGCCTGTAACAGGCCAACCGATGACATCTCATCGATATCCACTCTCACACACAGAAGTAGTCGCAAACCCAGGTGCGGGATTGACTACAAGTGCTACCAGGTGTAGCCGAGCTACTGTAGCTACGCTACTTATGCACTATGTGCAGATGGACTATGTGCACATAGTGATAAGTAGGCGGGATTGGCTACAAGTGCTACCAGGTGTAGCCGAGCTACTGTAGCTACGCTACTTATGCACTATGTGCAGATGCACTATGTGCAGAAGAAGTAGTCCGACTACTGTAGCAAAGCTATTTATGCACTATGTGCAGAGGAAGACAAGCTCAGAGAGCTTCTACGTCTTAGGGTGTTTAACCCTCCTAGGCTAGCTCGTAAGCTTGTGCCTATCGGTATTAACAACCGAGCCTCAGAGAGACTAGTATCAAAGATACTGATTCCTTAGAAGGAAATGAACGCTCAAGCAGTAATGCTTACAGAGCAGGTTTGAAACTGATTTGTATTCATGTTTATCATTATACACTAAATACAGAAGCACCCTACTCTATACTTAGTGCTAGTCACTATTTACTGGCTCTATAGCCTGTTTTATTATGCAAATATGCATAGACACTATACTTTGAATAAGTATAGTGACTACGTGGCTCTCTGCCACGATTCGGCCCTTCGTACTTCAGGTACGGTCACATCACCTACTTCTGTACCCAAGGTACAGCCACACCACATTGGTGTGGCAGGTGTGTATGTAAAATACACACCTTCGTGTAACCCCGTTACAACAGAGGCCTTTCCCGTATGATCCCAAGGACAAATATGTATCCTTTGAGAAGGCGGATGTATGGGATTTTGGAGCTTCTCGTAGCCAGCTAAAGCTGTACTGCAGGCCCTCCTTTCATCGGCAAATCGATTTCATGCGTGAAAAAGTCTTGGAAGAAAAACATGTTGGCTATGTACTCGGTCCTCCTGGAACGGGAAAGTCAACCGCCGCTATGGTTTTTGCGTTAGCTGTTGACAGGACCAGATGGGATGTTATCTGGATTCACGTCGAAGGTAAAATTTTAAAGTGTGTGCATATGAGTGGTCAAGAGCGAAAGACTGGAACCATTGATATTGCGAAGTTAACGGCATTGCTGGAATCCATCAATGCCCAGAATTGTTTGGTGCTTGTTGATGGCTGGACTTATACGGAAAGTAGAGGAGATCTGGAAGGCACGTGCTTCCTATGGTATACCAGTGCAAATGTTCCTGGAGAGAAACGACTTGTGTTTATATGCTCTGTGGCCTCTCGTGGAAAATCTAGTGCAGATTTTGAGTATGATTGGAAGATATTGGAGCATGAAGTTTGGTCCTGGACATTGGATGAATACCTTGACGCAATTAACGACAAAGAGTTTTTCAACAACGTGTTGCCAAAACTTGACGCGACAAGTAACAATACATCGTCGACTAATGCGATGCAACAAGCAATGAAGAAAAGGCGAAAAAGCCAGTCTGACGACCCTTTCGATAATCGCGCCTTTTTGTTGGAGACTAAGTATCACTATGCAGGCGGGTCATGTCGATGTATGTTTCTGTATACGACGGCAGAGGTGATTCGCCAGCTGAATCGTGCTATTGAAATGCTACCCGATTATAGTACTGCGACTCTTTCAAGTGGTAGCCGATCGCCTCTTATCGTCAACCGCCTGTTTGCGTTGTTCGAAAGTCATACTTCCACGGGGGTAATAGCCCCGCTGATTAGTCGCTATACTGCAATTCAAATTGGAATCAAAACCGGTCCGGATGAGATCAAACATTTTTTTTTCAAGTATCGAGAGTTTGCAAACCCAGCATTTAGTGGATGGATGTTGGAGATGGCTTTTTTTATATCTTTACGACATGGCGGTCTCGAAATATTCGATGAAAGTAATAACATTGTTGATAAGTGGGAACAAGCTACTGTTGTGGATTCAGATGGAGTACCTGAACTCAAGAACGATGGCCCTGTTTGGATTAGACCCCTTCAATGGAACCAAGGTGGATACGATGCTATTATGGTGTGTAAGCAAACTAGATTCGTGAGGATGGTACAAATAACTTGTGCAAGCACGCACACATTTCGTATCGATTACTTCTATTCGTGGCTGAAGAAGCTTTCGGAAACGAACGGGAGTTTCAACGTTGACAAACTGGAGATTGTCTTTGTTGTCGCTAAAGACAGCCTACAGAATTTTACAATATCGAATGCTACTGGTCAAGGACTCCTGGAAGCGTTTGGTTGGGAGAAAAACACGGAGATTAGTCGAGTACGGATAGTTGGGATGCGAGGGTTAATAAGTGACTTCAAATTGTAGTGTTGTCTACTTGGATGTGCTGGTTGTATCTCTTTTGAAGGTGTTGCGTTGCAAGTCCAATATCTTCAGCAAATTGCAGCAATCCCTTGTGACTCAGATGAGAAAGATCGGACAGCGACAACACACTTCAATATCGAGAAGAATGTTTTGAGAGTAGAATAACAGACTTAGTAGAGGTAGCAAGTAGTTTGCGAACCAAGGACCTGAGTATTCGTCCATTTTATTTACTCTTTCACTCCTATCATCACGCTTTGTGAGTTCAATCTCTGAGGCGTCGTGAAATCAATTCGTTCGTCACAAGTTGTGAACCAGCTCGTACGCGTAGATCCGTTTGATGTATAGTGTGGTTTGAACACTTATTTAAATGCGTTAAAAATCTCATCGACACAATGTTAATATGTTGAAAGGCAGTCAAAACATGAAGCGCTTCGCTTACTCGAACACGCATGAAACGCGGATAGTGCCGGCCTTGACTGCATCTGGTGGTAGATGTGCCATATCTTCGGCTGACTCGATAGATTGGAGCGACATCGAGCGTGACGATGTGGCAGAGCCAGTGACTTCCACCTTTAGTGTAAGATATCCGATCGGCTTGTCGGACTGGTCCCTTAGTACCAGCTCTTCCGTTGTAGCAGATGCATTGATTCTCGCGTCAATATCCAGAGTTGCCGATCCAAGTCGTGCGTCCACGATCATACTCTTGTCTTTCAGATAAACGACTAGTCTCGAATCGGCACCGCCGCGATGAAGCTCCTTTGCTGTGACCGAGAAGGTAAAACTTTCTCCCCATGACGCTTGACCCACTTGCTCGTTCTTCTGATTCTTGGTGAATGACATTCTTGCAGTATTCGTGCGATTGACGTTTTTTCCAACATGCACTGAAGTGTATGGTGAAATGTTGGGTGCACTACTTCCTAGATTGCCCAGCCCAAGCATGCCACTACCAGTTGAGCTAGTGACGACCGTATTTGTCAATGATACAACTGTAACGAGTACGTGGTGCTTCTCATCACTCAACAACGCTGCATGGTTCACTCATTAGCTGTTTTTCTGCAGCATGACGAGTGGATAATCCTTCTCTGCGATCACATGGCTCGTGTTCATCTTGTTGTTTCCTGGCTTAACCTCCGTGTGAACCCATTCGGCAAGATCTGACGAATACTCAGGCGGCTTAAAGTCGTCTTGGAGCTGCGCCATGCTCAAAATGCACTTGCCAATTGTCTTGGCTACGGTGCCGCCATATGAGTCCTTTACCACGAATTGCACCTCGTTCTCCTTGTCTGTTAACGCTAGCTGTATCTTCTCTTGCCACACTGGGTTTACCGTGTTGTAAATTACCGCAGTCCTCATTACATCGACACCATCCAATCGTACAACACAGAATGGATCACATGACTTATCCGAGTCCAGTCCATTAGCAACCAATATCTCCAAGTTCAACAGAGTAGGTTTGTAATGGGTTTCATCGAACTCCGCAATCAACTTATCGTTTTTAACAAGTTTCGGCTTCCGGCGGCGGCCGCCAAATGGGGAGCGATTCACAACCGTAGACCGTACACCCAGCGCAAGGTTTTGAGACGTCGACGTAAGACCCTTGAGCAGGACAACACCAGGACCAGTAATGCCTTGTACTGTGCCCTGCACAAGTCCAGTCACACCACCTTTCATAGCTCCCTCGACAGGCTTCGTAAATATACCAGTGAAGCCGCGGCCGAGGTCCTTTGCAAACTTGACACCAGCATTGTCAGTCGACGACAAATCATTACCACCGGATGTATCGCTTTTACTGTCGCCCGCGAACTCGCCCACAAACTTATCTAGCGAGCCTGTAATCTTCGCGACCGAAGACGCACCGGATTTTACGATAGTCTTGCCAAGCACCTTCACGCCTTCGCCACGAGTTTGAGCATCGCCAGTCGTCAGTTCACCCTTTGTGATCTTTAGAAACTCCACAACACCGGAACCCAAGTCTTCAACAAGTCCAATCGGATTGCCAATGATATCTGCACTGCCAACAAGACGGTACGCCTGCAGTATGCCCTGCTGAACATAGTTCGCGATCAACTGATTCTGGAGCCTCTGCTTCGTTGATAGACAGCATACAATCACAATCTCGCTAAAGTTAAATGTCGGAGAACCACTTAGGTTTGATCCGACAAGGCCAATGATCTGGCTTAGAAAGCCAAAAATCACCGAGTGGCCACCACCAGTCGACGACACGATGTCTTTGCGTGTGATTGAGTACTCTAACTCAACAGACAACGACGAGATGCGCAAGACGTCAAAGTACACCAAATCTGTGTGAATGCCACCTTCTGCTGTCACTAACATTACCGGCATTGGTGGTGCGCGACGTTGAAGCGTTTTCTCCAACGTTAGCTTCGTTCGGTGGGCCGTGGTAGCATCAGAGACCAAGTACGGTTCTAGAAGTCTTACAAGGGTCACCAGATAATCGATATCCACCTTCACTGCTACGTCACCTAAGCTAAATTCGAGCAGCTTGTACGTTCCCAGCCGAGCTTCCAGGTCAGCATCAAGAACCTGCTTCAAAAACGGCTCAGGTTTCTTGCCCACGGACTTATCACTGTAGCCTGAACTTACAGGATTCATTATTACAGGGAACTTAGCAGTCGCCAACATGTTGTCTGCTTGGCAATGCAGCACCGAGAATGTCCATTCTAGCGACGCAGGGGCTTTTTGCACCTTCATAATATCTGCCGATGCGAAAAATACTTCCTGTGGGAAGCCATCCAGCAAGGAAAAGCCAAAACCCACGAATGCAATGTCGAAAGAAGATGCGTAAAGCATTCGTCGGTGCTGGAGATCACCCTCCGAGTCCTGGGTTGTCAATCGACTAAGCTCTAGTTCCTTCTCAGCAATTTTGAGCACACGCGTACTCTCGTCAACAACGACTTGTACAGTCAACCTCACGGCGTGCTGTTTCTCGCCATCATGAGACACCCACATGGTGATGGGGTCCAGGTAGCCAACATAGTCAATGTCATATTTCTTCGTCTGCGCCTTGAGGGCATCCATATGTGACAGACGGAGCTCGACGTGGCGTTCCTTCGACAAAGGATTAAACCACGCAAAAGCGTGCCACGCCCCGGGTTTGATAGTAGCAGCTGTTTGCTTTTGCCCGCTGCTGAAAATAGATGACTCGCCCAACTGAGCGTAATCTATCGTGAACGGGGTGTAATTTTCGATGCGATACGGTGGTGCGCAAGACACATCTGTCAGAACTACATAGACGTACATGTCCACCACTTGCACACTCGCTTGGCAAATAAGATAGCGTTGGCGCACAGATGAGTAGACCTGTAAGTAGACGTCTCCAGCTGTGTTGATCGGAATCGCAAACGACCAGTTCTTTTTGTCAGCGTCAGTGCCCCATTCTTCTGAGAACGAGAACGAAATATAGCGCTGACTTTGCTCCACAGACTCGCCCTTTTTCAATGACCCGAAGTGATACAGTGGTGTAGTCTGACTGTCCTCCAGAGCCAGATGTAACTGCTTCACATCATCTACACTTCGCTTGTGGAACATATCGTCGACCTTCTGCGGGTCCTTGTCGTGCGAGGCAAAACTCTGAATGTATAGCTTTTGGTTCAAGCGGTTTTGAACGAAATACCGGGGGCTTAACGTAAGCGAGACACCTGGTTGGAATAGACCATAAAGGACTTCCATTTCCAAGCCAAAAACGCTTGGACCACACACGATCTCACCCATGGTATTGATAGCTGTCGTGTTAATAGGTTCCGACCACTGCGCATTCTTGATTGCATGTTCCGAGAGCGCTGAAGCCTTAAACTGTATCCGGCATATTACCGAGCGCTTCCCATGGCTTTGGGCGGCGATTGAGGTTTGCAAGCGGTTTTAAGCTCAGACGATCATGCGGCAGCGACGTCATGACAGGGTAACTGAATGGTGCACACACACGCATGGCCTTGCACGAGTTTCGCTTTGCACCAGACTCAGTAGACGCATAGTCAAATGCAAGCGACGTGTTGTCCACGATCCAGTAAGGGCTTGAAAAGCGTACGAGTCGAGGGCAGCCAGGAAGTGTGATTCGGTCAATGTTGAAGTGGAGGCCAACGCCGGCTTCTACACTTTCTCGCGACGTCGTAAACTGCTCGACTCCTTTGTGAATCATCATCAGAAGCGGTTTTGACCACGCAGACGTCACATGCTTGTCTGTGTTTTGCTTTTGGGCAACCAAACGAATCGACAAATAACCAGGATACTCTCCAGAAACACCGGATACTTCGGCATCGTGACCTGATTTCGCTACTCCGCTTAATACACCATCCGATGGTTTAGGTGTGCTTTCGCACCGTAATAGCGTATCTACCTTGGTGAATTCAGCCTTCATGTCCCTCGATGAACTCGACTTGTACTCGACAAATCGATATTCCATCTTATAGGGTAACGAGTTGCGTACCACAAATGGAGGAAGCAACGCTATTTCATACTCGAAATGCGAACGTAAGTGCCATCGTCGCACGATCATATTCGGAATGAGGCGCTTCACCATCAAGCGACAACAGCTGTTCAACTGACGGCCTTTGTGCAAGTTTCCTCGGTTTGGCCATACACAATAGTTCCACCCCCTCGGCGCTGCTTCGTTCTCGCTTCCCGTTCAGCTTCGTGCTCATTGAGCTCTTGGGTTGCCGTAGTAGATGTTAGCACGTCATTGTTCAAAGAAGTCTTTACAATCCAGTGTTCATGACTTCCAAGATGCGCGTAAAACTCCGTTATGCCCATCAATAGTGAGAGCGGCAATGAAATTCGCTCATTAGGTCGCAATTTAATGACGGGAGATTCCACCGCCTTTCGATCCTCCTTTCCTAAGCTCAGGTACTTCATCTCGTAACACTCCGAGCTGTGGTTGCAGAAGTACGTATTTGATCTTAGGACAATAAGCTGTTGTCGCGGGTTTTCCAATCGCGAAAACACTGTGACAAATAGAGATGATGGTGAAGCTTCTGCTGTACTCACACCAACGCTGACATTACCAAAGGAAGACAACTTCACCGAATTTTTACTTGTACCCCACTGATCAATTTCAAGTAAGTCTACTACAGCCTCGCCATCCTTCAAAGCTCCATTTTCAATGTGAGCGCGATTATGCGCGTCAATTGTGATTACCTCATCACTGCCGTTTAGTTTCAAGGAAATCTTGCATCCCGTAAAGTTCTGCACAAGACAATCTGTTTCTTTTTGCTTCTTTGCAGCAGTTGAAAGTTGGAAGCTGTCTTGATGCTTTTGCAGCCCATTCTGCTGAGCCTCTCCATCAAGGGCGTCCATCAGCGCACGGTAGGTCTTGAGGACGCTTGGAGTCACATTAATCTGAAATCGCTTCGCAGCCTCCAACAGAACAGCAAATCCATTCTCGCCTGCACTCGAAGACACGCCGGCAACCAGTTCCCATGGCTCGATGATGTTTTCCATGTCGTTGGCAATTTCACTATAACAGGACGACGACATCTTGAAGCCGAACAACCGCGTCCAGTCGGTGTTCCCAGACATGGCCAGATCGACCCAATCTATGGGACCAATTTCGTCAATATTTTTGCCACTGAACCTCATCGATATTTTTACATTTTTGATGACAAAATTACCACGGCAAAAGCGAGCAGACAGTTCAGCATCCATAAGAACTAGTCGCACGTTTCCCATTTTTACGTCTGTCGTGAAGTGCAGCTCTTTCTTCACCAAGTTCATATTTTGTGTAAGCTTGCTTACCAAATTCTCTGTTTCCTCGATGGCTGCACTAAAAATACCGCCACGTTTTTTCTTTGCAATAACTTTCGCTGCGCTCTGGTACTCGCTGATACCTCCACAGCGCGTGGACGGCTGCAGTAGCCACTCATATATAGAACGGTCCGAGCAATTGTCTTCCATCGCAGGCAATACCAACGCATCCCAGATAAGGTTCGCGGCGTCATAGTTCTTGAGCAGCCGAACCAGCTTTTTTTGTAAATCCAGCGGATTTTGATTGATGATTGAACGATTCTTAATGTGAGCTTCACTCTCAAAAAGTTCCCAAAAGCGTCCCTCGAACGCAGGGCGCTTAATCCGCTCTGCGAGTTGTTCAGAAAATGTTATCTTCGTCTCGCATAGCTCGTTAATGACTTCAAACGAATGGTATTCATTTCCGCGCAGATTAAGGAAGCCGCTGAGAGCTTTGCTGCCGTTTCCTGGCCTCGAACCAGAAGCTTCAGCAGCTTTATCTGACAAAAGATCATCGCGCAAAAATGCGCGGAGCTCTTGAAATTCAAGATAGCCATTACCATCCTGGTCAATTTCCTTAAAGAACTCGCGAACAAAGTACTCCAATTTACTTTTCAGCAATGTGTCGCCAACCTTGACCCGGCGCAGTAAGAGAAGAAGCTCTGCCAGCTCAATACAGCCGTTCCCGTTTTCATCAATTTCGTCAAAAAGCCGGTGCAAGCGATCAAGGACTGTGTCGACTTCCGCCTGGCGTCGAATTTCTTCCTGCTTTACACGACTTTTGAGCCGAAGCTGGGCTTGCTTGGCCGTTGTTGCCTGCACGTTACTGAGGGCCTCTCCACAGGACGCCAATAACGACAAACTGAGGTCTGACCCAGCAACCAAGGCATCTGGCATGTGCATCATTACACTCTGGTGACAATCAGAGGATCCGTGACGTCTTGTTCTAGGGTAAACTGAAATACGATACTTGTTGGAGCTAAAATGGTTTCCGCTTCCTTAGCATCATTGACGTACTGGGCGCCGATATTGAAGCTGTGAACGTTAAGCTCCAGCAATTCCTTCACTTTTGAGCTTTCGAGATGCATGCTCAATGAGGCAGGCATATCCACGCAGCAATCTACCACGTAATCGCTTTGCCATGTCTCCGCGTTAATATCCATAAAAAGTGATTTTGAGTACGACTGAGTGGGTAGCAGAACGATGTGACAGTCCTTCAAGTTGACATCCAGGCTCAACAGCATGCCGCCAAGCAAGCTAAACGGAGACATTGTTATCTCTTTTCTCACCATGTCTACCTCGCTTTTAGCAACCTGGACTGCGGCAGGCGATAACTCAGAGTGAGAAACTGGTACGAAAGGCGGCCGCGCTGTCGACAGTACTTGAGTTGTCTTTGTGCTCAGCCGATCAACAAACAGCAGGAAACGCTCCAGCGCACCGACTGAGAGTACCAACTTCATCTTGTTCACTGTACCACACACATTCTGCTTACCACTTTCAAGCTGACTCACATGGGCCGTAAGCATCTGTGGCGGCGACATTGCGCCAGACTCTGCAGCTACCTTGCTGAGGTCCGCAAACATTAGCTTTGCCGTTGGAGAAACAGAATTTGAAGCCGAAAACTCGACGTTAACGACGAATGTTGCTTGGCCCAATGCAACCTCTACGTCTAGCTTCTGCTTCTCATCGCCTTCTGCAATGGTGAACGAGCGCATATTGACGCCAAAGCCGATCACGACCATCTCAGAAACTTGACGGCCTCGTTCAACGAACGCAACACTCATGTTATCCCAGCGTAATGTAATCTGCATTGCTTTAAACATGTTGTTGCTTGTCTTGGCAGCATTCTCCTTCACGATTGCAATGTACTCGGAAAGAGAGAGCTCCTCTTGATCACGACGGTAGTACTTGGCCAATCCAGTGGATCGACTACGCAGGTTGAGAATTTTGTCCAGCGACATGACTGCTTCAAGTTCGCGTAGCTTGTCATTGCGATCCTTTTTATCCTGAGCTGACAACAACTTGTTGCTATCCACTTGGTCGTAATTGTCCATGTAGAAAGCTTCATCCTCCTTTAACAGCGGGGTTCAAACAGTCTCATCATGTTCTAACGCACGCATCGACTGCACCAGAACCTGGTAATCCATGTATGGCACAACTAGATCGCGCAGCACTCCCACAATCAGCTCCCGCGTGACTGTAAGGTTAGTGATCGACGACGATACAAGCTCCACCCGCGCCACACGGTTCGTTACCGGAATAGGAGCAATGTTCTCCACAATGCCCAACAACCGTGGCATGGGCGGTACCTGGAGCTTTAGGTCGAGATTTGCCAAAGACAACAGTGGTATTTCACCAAGACCGATTCCTTCGTTATCTTTCAATAAATCTTTTCTCTTTTCCACCCCGGTCATGTCACGTTCGTTTCATCATCCACAGTAGCAGCACAGACGTTTACACCCTTGAAGTTAATCAAGTGCTCCATCGAAATCTCCTCCGACGTCAAACTAAGCTGCAAAGCTTCCTCTGCATTAATCATGTAGGACGTAGGATAGTAAGTCAAACAATTTCATGACAAAAATCGCGCGTGTCGGCTTCAAAGACACGGGATTGAGCTGGTCGTGGCCACGTCTGCATCCTCACTGTCCTTATCCTCAGTCTCACAATCACGGTCGTCCACAGCAGAATCTCCGGGCATCAGACCTGTGACACCAATTCTTACATTGCTCACATGGACGTCTACTTGCGCCGCAATCTGCTGCAACACGCAATCTTTGAAGGCAAAAGCTTTCGATGTTGTCACCTGCTCCTCTTGTTTCTCTCTCAGCTCTGTCTTGGTGCGCTCTGCAATGAGTTGAGTGACCCAGTTGTTCGCCTCGCTCAGCTTCATAGCCACGGCATCTTGCAGCTCAAACACGCCTTCCGCATTGGGATCCACCATCTGACCATCCACAGCCACACCTTCTAATTTGACCACAACTTTCCACGTCGTAGCTAAATGGATTACCATTTTCTTAATGGTTACGTGCTGGATGTCAAATGGTGCTAGCCCTTGCTTCGTAAATGCCAACGTCTTGAGAAACTCGCTTTGTAGCGTCACATAAAACAGTGAGTGGTCACGCCACGCAGTTGCTCCGTGACCGTCCCGGTGCCACGTCGTCCACGCACGTCAAACGAGCCAAGATAATACTCAATCTGAATGCTGTCAGTCAAATAAACGGCCGCAAACTTATGCACGAGCCTCGAAAGCAGTGATCCGTGCTAGGCCGGGCACAACACATAGCGACAGCGACACACTCACGGAGAGTAACGCCATCACTAGCATCCCAGACATGATAAATGCGCGGTTGAAGTGATTAAAAGGCAACTTCAACCAACTCGAAAGTTTCACAAAGACCAACACTCTTGGATCTGTTTTGGAGCTTGCTTTTCGTGAAATGAGGGAAAAATTCCCTTTAATTTTTTTTTGACCTGGAAATTGTATGCGATACTTTATCTCCTGTGAAACAACATATGCATTTCGAGAGGGACCTGATTTTTCAATCAAGTTTGACATGATAAGCATGCCACCACGACATCGCAAGCTATTGACACTGGCGTTCCTTGTGCGAAATGGCGTTGTGCCTCATGAAGAGAGACATGTTCTATTAGGGTTAAAGAAACGAGGGTTTGGTATAGGGAAATGGAATGGGTTTGGAGGTAAAGTAGAACGTACGGACACTAGTATCGCGTCAGCAGCAGTAAGGGAAATACAAGAAGAGGCCAATGTGCAAGTGAGTGTTGAGGACCTCGAGTCACGTGGTGTATTGCTGTTTACATTTGAACAAAGCAATGAAGTGATGGTACGCAGTGGGATAGAGATGTTGTTATTGGGTTAGGAGAAAAGCTCGGGGGTAGAAGAAAAGCTTGGGGTAGGAGAAAAGCTCGGGGGTAGGAGAAAAGCTCAATAGTATTGCTGTTGTAGGAGGTGCATGTTTACGTGACCGAGAAATTTTCGGGTCAGCCATCGGAGAGCGACGAGATGAAGCCGCAGTGGTACGACGTCTCTCAGATTCCGTTTAACACCATGTGGGCAGACGATCGCTTCTGGCTACCACATGTACTGAGTGGCAAGAGCGTGCAAGGAAACTTCCACTTTGCAGCAGACGAAGATTCGTTGCTAGACTATGAGCTAAATGTGATGACTCTGACGGCAGTTTGAGCTTTTCAGCAGCATAAGAAAGCACGTATCATGCAAAGGTTACTTTTGATGAATCTAGACGGAGACATGTAAACGTCTCGACATCATACAAATGATTGAATTGGATCGATCAGAGAATTGTAGTCAATGTGAATATCATTGAATATCTCCACAACAGTATTTTCCTCACTTCGGCCTCCAACTGTATCTACCTACGGGTGTGTTTCTATGATTTGGATTATACATCTATAGACTTTGATATTCGCAAATAATATGTCACCACTCTAAAGACCATTGCACTCACTGACTCCTTGGAAGAGATGAACGCGATGGTGAGTAGAATGGCATTCAGTCTAGCAAGTGAAAAAAATTGGACTTTTCTACGAACAAAGAAAAGAACAGAGTGTATCTTGCAGCAAACTGGACGAGCTTAATTGATGAACAAGACAAACATGTGCGACCACCACATCACTCCTTGACCGCACAGCGCCGGAACAAGAGACACAGCAGTGCAGACGGCTTCTGGACAGCACAAATGCACTTCCTGCAGCCTTTGTACCGCCATGCTTACTTTATGCTTCATACTATACCCATCCACACGTTCAGAGTACAAACGGGCTGTTGGATGTGCAAATCATGCAATGAATGCATACAGAAGCTTCACAAAATAGCGTGTGATGGATGATAGATAGATGGATGGCGATCAAATTTGGAACTGAGTCGAATGATGCCGTCGTGGTTCAGAATGACTGGTGTAGACTTGAGGCCTTAAATGCAATGCTTCACTCTATGATGTCATTCGCATTGCGCTCAATATTCCACCACCCTTAGTCGCGTCCATCAGCTCTTCTGCTTTGGTGTTTCTTCATCTTGTGACTCTTCTTATAGTGACTGTGACGACTGTGCTTCTTCAACGACGACGAGCTCTTTTGTCGATTCTGTGCCTCGTCATCATTATCATCACTAAAACTCCCACCTTCTCTATCAATTCTCCTTCGTTTCTTCTCAAAAGTTGAAAAATGTTTACAACGTCTCTTCTTCTTCTTCTCGTCTTCTTCTTCATCTGATACACTTGAATCTTCTCCATAAATCGCAGCTAATGCTTGAGGATTCAAACCACTACCACTGACACTTACATTGCCCAATTTAGACTGCGATCCATGGCTCTTACGCATTATTTTATCCCGTGACGCGTCCAGTTTCTTACGAAACTCGTGTGTATGTTGTTGACACGACTCGTTCTCAGCCTCAGCCTGTAATCTTTGTAGCTTAGAACCTACAAGCTGATCATACATCTTCTGTAATGTTGATTCAGCATTTGTACTCTTGATTACGGATCGTCCATTATCCTGAAGCTTGTGACGCTTGCATGTCCCCGTATAGCACTGAGGACACGTTGACATAATGGACAAAAGCTAAGGATGAGCGATGGCTTTTATTTCGATGAGCTGGAACGAACGGTTGTTCTTGTAGAGGATATTTTATAATTGTTGCTACGAAACGTATGTCTGTGTATTTCGAAAGAGAGCGACGGAGAAATACGCCCGTGGTTTAGAAATGGTAATTTCTATGTGAACCAATACTCCTGACAAGAACCTCCAACAATGCTTACTACTGACAAGAACCTTCAACAATGCATACTCTTCGTGCTGGATGGATAACAGTATCAGGGCATCAGCACAAGTTGTTTATCTTGATGAGGTTCAAGAGATGGAGCTGCCATTGTTGTTTGATCATTCACATACGTGTCTATACATCCACGCCCACAAATGGAATCACATTGGTCCACATAAACATCGAAACGATGTTTTATGGTACAAACAATTGCGATTGACTGGATGTTCGGAATTGAGATTCCATCCAGTGGTGTACTTGCCGTTATAGTAACAGTTTGGGCCATTGCAATAGCAGCGAAAGCTACGAAAGTGGCAATCACTGTCGGTTGAGCAGCCGTCCAAATGGTACGTCAAATGGATCATCATCTTTTCCTTGACCACGAGTTAATGGAAATTCAAATTTTCCATGTACTGGATAATGGTCGGAGAGATCAATTAATGCCATTTTCATAATCCTCTTTACACCAGTCCAATCAACTGTAAAACGAGGGACCTGATTTACAAAAGCTTGGAGTGTTGGTACTGTGCTTGGTTGCTGGTAAGGAGCTACAACACAAGCGATTTCATCAGTGGTAAGACAGACACGCCACCATTGTTGCAACTAGTGTGGGGTGCTTGCTACCTTTTCCATACAGAACGTAGTCAAGCCACTCCAGTGGACAGCAGGGGCAATAGCACATGTTGTCCAAATCAGGCTCAGTAATCTCAGTGTGGACACCGCATGTCGTTCGGGTGAGCAACGATGGGTAGAAAACGCTATCCTATTTGCACGCACCACCACACAAATTTCAGAGGAAGCACATGGAGGCATTAAGTAATAGCATAACAAACCGTTGCTGGCCCCCAGTTTTGGACGTATTGTGCAAAGCATTTGTTGCTGATGGCAGCTCCGTCACGTCCAACCAGCACGTTCGTGTGCGGACTGAAGCAAATTCATTGCACGTTCGAGAATGAGTTCGAGTCGATCCACCATCACACAATTGCACGTGACATACTCGCTCGTGAAAACCTGTTTGCCAATCTGACGAGGTTCATTCGCTTGAAGCAGCTCTACTAAATGTGCCACTTCATTTCCAAAAGTGTGATTGTCTACATTGAAGTCCCCTGCAAAGATCAATGGCTAGATGCAGACAAAAGCAAACAACCTCGCGTCGTGATCAGCACAAGCGGCGTATGATAAGAGTTCATCACTTCCCACCTCGTGATACGGAATGCCAATAGCATCGATAAACTGCCGCATCTGTCCAGCGTATAGACAGATAAGAAAAATAAATTCTAGAAGCTAACAAGCATTGATATTCCATGACCTCCTTACCTGCTTTGCTTGCTGAATCCGATCCGCCCGTCCTTCTGGCGTAGACCACGCCTAAATTGTCATCACATGCATGGACTCAACAACTCTCTTTCTCTGCCCAATCCAAAAGCTTAACAACTTTGAGTACCTGCATGTGGGTAGCAAACACGTTAAAAATCTTGTGCGTATCATTGACAGTTTTTAGCAACCGGGCATATTTGACACCCTTAGCTGCTAAACAGTCCGAGTAATGACAAGCATTGTGATACACATGCTGAGCTTCACGAATGATCGGCCACTTGGACACCACCATTACTCCTCCGTTTAGTAAGCTAGTGAATGGATCCGGGTCATGAAGAATTGTCGTGGAATAATTGAAACCAAACTTTTGAAATTGAGCGAGCATTTCGTTTCGCTCAGTTTTGATATCGGCTTCTGCCAAAGTCACAACATCGATGGTTGGAGAAATCTGATGCAATGACTCGGGAACTCGTTGCAATCGTTCACTCTGCCCATCCTTAGAGACTTCGTACGGACGTCCAAATAAATTGTACTATCAAAATCAACATGTTACGAGTGATTTAGGTGGGAGAAGATTACAACGTACATGTATCAATATATATGATGATACCTGAAGAACTTCAAAGGAAATGGTAGAATCAGGAGCAGACTTTACATGATAAGGAGTTACTCTACTACTCCATACAGGTACATTGCCAATCATTTCATCGACGTGGAAGTGGCCCTGAACGGCGTAAAGTAACAAGGAAGGAACCAGCGTAAGAAGAGCGAGCGGCATTCGGAATAAACGAGTCGTTCGTGATTTGTTTGAGATCGTTATTTTTCTAGCTTTTCTATCATTTTAAGCATTGGTTTATTTCCACTTAGGTACGATAGCACCAATTTTCTCTAATTTTCTCTCATTCAAGAGTTTGCCGGCTCAATGGTAATGGTAAAGCTTTTTTGTGCGATTGTTGGTGTAGAGGGGAGCGTGTTCTCTGTAGATATCGATGCATCTCAGTCTGTGGCCGACTTGAAGGACGCAATTAGAGCGAAGAAACCGAACGACTTTAAGGATGTCCCTGCACATTTGCTGCAGCTCTTTCTGGCCAAGAATGACGCGGGCGTTTGGTTATCGTCTCGCTCGCAAGACCGTGACGAAGCTGAAGAGGAAGGTCAAAAAACTGCTCTCGTCGAGTTGCTGACGGGACAAGATCAAGAACTTTACAGGGATAGGACCCACTTCAGGACTTGACTAAACGGATGCCTGATCCTCTATTATATCGACCAAGTTCACGTGCTGGTGATAGTTCCGCAGCCCAAAATGGACTGGAAGTGTGCTTTACAGAGGCCTTTCCCGTATGATCCCAAGGACAAATATGTATCCTTTGAGAAGGCGGATGTATGGGATTTTGGAGCTTTTCGTAGCCAGCTAAAGCTGTACTGCAGGCCCTCCTTTCATCGGCAAATCGATTTCATGCGTGAAAAAGTCTTGGAAGAAAAACATGTTGGCTATGTACTCGGTCCTCCTGGAACGGGAAAGTCAACCGCCGCTATGGTTTTTGCGTTAGCTGTTGACAGGACCAGATGGGATGTTATCTGGATTCACGTCGAAGGTAAAATTTTAAAGTGTGTGCATATGAGTGGTCAAGAGCGAAAGACTGGAACCATTGATATTGCGAAGTTAACGGCATTGCTGGAATCCATCAATGCCCAGAATTGTTTGGTGCTTGTTGATGGCTGGACTTATACGGAAAGTAGAGGAGATCTGGAAGGCACGTGCTTCCTATGGTATACCAGTGCAAATGTTCCTGGAGAGAAACGACTTGTGTTTATATGCTCTGTGGCCTCTCGTGGAAAATCTAGTGCAGATTTTGAGTATGATTGGAAGATATTGGAGCATGAAGTTTGGTCCTGGACATTGGATGAATACCTTGACGCAATTAACGACAAAGAGTTTTTCAACAACGTGTTGCCAAAACTTGACGCGACAAGTAACAATACATCGTCGACTAATGCGATGCAACAAGCAATGAAGAAAAGGCGAAAAAGCCAGTCTGACGACCCTTTCGATAATCGCGCCTTTTTGTTGGAGACTAAGTATCACTATGCAGGCGGGTCATGTCGATGTATGTTTCTGTATACGACGGCAGAGGTGATTCGCCAGCTGAATCGTGCTATTGAAATGCTACCCGATTATAGTACTGCGACTCTTTCAAGTGGTAGCCGATCGCCTCTTATCGTCAACCGCCTGTTTGCGTTGTTCGAAAGTCATACTTCCACGGGGGTAATAGCCCCGCTGATTAGTCGCTATACTGCAATTCAAATTGGAATCAAAACCGGTCCGGATGAGATCAAACATTTTTTTTTCAAGTATCGAGAGTTTGCAAACCCAGCATTTAGTGGATGGATGTTGGAGATGGCTTTTTTTATATCTTTACGACATGGCGGTCTCGAAATATTCGATGAAAGTAATAACATTGTTGATAAGTGGGAACAAGCTACTGTTGTGGATTCAGATGGAGTACCTGAACTCAAGAACGATGGCCCTGTTTGGATTAGACCCCTTCAATGGAACCAAGGTGGATACGATGCTATTATGGTGTGTAAGCAAACTAGATTCGTGAGGATGGTACAAATAACTTGTGCAAGCACGCACACATTTCGTATCGATTACTTCTATTCGTGGCTGAAGAAGCTTTCGGAAACGAACGGGAGTTTCAACGTTGACAAACTGGAGATTGTCTTTGTTGTCGCTAAAGACAGCCTACAGAATTTTACAATATCGAATGCTACTGGTCAAGGACTCCTGGAAGCGTTTGGTTGGGAGAAAAACACGGAGATTAGTCGAGTACGGATAGTTGGGATGCGAGGGTTAATAAGTGACTTCAAATTGTAATGCTGTCTACTTGGATGTGCTGGTTGTATCTCTTTTGAAGGTGTTGCGTTGCAAGTCCAATATCTTCAGCAAATTGCAGCAATCCCTTGTGACTCAGATGAGAAAGATCAGACAGCGACAACACACTTCAATATCGAGAAGAATGTTTTGAGAGTAGAATAACAGACTTAGAAGGTAGCAAGTAGTTTGCGAACCAAGGACCTGAGTATTCGTCCATTTTATTTACTCTTTCACTCCTATCATCACGCTTTGTGAGTTCAATCTCGTGAGGCGTCGTGAAATTAATTTGTTCGTCACAAGTTGTGAGACTCTAAAACGCTCGTACGCGTAGATCCGTTTGATGTATAGTGTGGTTTGAACACTTATTTAAATGCGTTAAAAATCTCATCGACACAATGTTAATATGTTGAAAGGCAGTCAAAACATGAAGTGCTTCGCTTACTCGAACACGCATGAAACGCGGATAGTGCCGGCCTTGACTGCATCTGGTGGTAGATGTGCCATATCTTCGGCTGACTTGATAGATTGGAGCGACATCGAGCGTGATGATGTGGCAGAGCCAGTGACTTCCACCTTTAGTGTAAGATATCCGATCGGCTTGTCGGACTGGTCCCTTAGTACCAGCTCTTCCGTTGTAGCAGATGCATTGATTCTCGCGTCAATATCCAGAGTTGCCGATCCAAGTCGTGCGTCCACGATCATACTCTTGTCTTTCAGATAAACGACTAGTCTCGAATCGGCACCGCCGCGATGAAGCTCCTTTGCTGTGACCGAGAAGGTAAAACTTTCTCCCCATGACGCTTGACCCACTTGCTCGTTCTTCTGATTCTTGGTGAATGACATTCTTGCAGTATTCGTGCGATTGACGTTTTTTCCAACATGCACTGAAGTGTATGGTGAAATGTTGGGTGCACTACTTCCTAGATTGCCCAGCCCAAGCATGCCACTACCAGTTGAGCTAGTGACGACCGTATTTGTCAATGATACAACTGTAACGAGTACGTGGTGCTTCTCATCACTCAACAACGCTGCATGGTTCACTCATTAGCTGTTTTTCTGCAGCATGACGAGTGAATAATCCTTCTCTGCGATCACATGGCTCGTGTTCATCTTGTTGTTTCCTGGCTTAACCTCCGTGTGAACCCATTCGGCAAGATCTGACGAATACTCAGGCGGCTTAAAGTCGTCTTGGAGCTGCGCCATGCTCAAAATGCACTTGCCAATTGTCTTGGCTACGGTGCCGCCATATGAGTCCTTTACCACGAATTGCACCTCGTTCTCCTTGCCTGTTAACGCTAGCTGTATCTTCTCTTGCCACACTGGGTTTACCGTGTTGTAAATTACCGCAGTCCTCATTACATCGACACCATCCAATCGTACAACACAGAGTGGATCACATGACTTATCCGAGTCCAGTCCATTAGCACCCAGTATCTCCAAGTTCAACAGAGTAGGTTTGTAATGGGTTTCATCGAACTCCGCAATCAACTTATCGTTTTTAACAAGTTTCGGCTTCCGGCGGCGGCCGCCAAATGGGGAGCGATCTACGACCGTAGACCGTACACCCAGCGCAAGGTTTTGAGACGTCGACGTAAGACCCTTGAGCAGGACAACACCAGGACCGGTAATGCCTTGTACTGTGCCCTGCACAAGTCCAGTCACACCACCTTTCATAGCTCCCTCGACAGGCTTCGTAAATATACCAGTGAAGCCGCGGCCGAGGTCCTTTGCAAACTTGACACCAGCATTGTCAGTCGACGACAAATCATTGCCGCCGGATGTATCGCTTTTACTGTCGCCCGCGAACTCGCCCACAAACTTATCTAACGAGCCTGTAATCTTCGCGACCGAAGACGCACCGGATTTTACGATAGTCTTGCCAAGCACCTTCACGCCTTCGCCACGAGTTTGAGCATCGCCAGTCGTCAGTTCACCCTTTGTGATCTTTAGAAACTCCACAACACCGGAACCCAAGTCTTCAACAAGTCCAATCGGATTGCCAATGATATCTGCACTGCCAACAAGACGGTACGCCTGCAGTATGCCCTGCTGAACATAGTTCGCGATCAACTGATTCTGGAGCCTCTGCTTCGTTGATAGACAGCATACAATCACAATCTCGCTAAAGTTAAATGTCGGAGAACCACTTAGGTTTGATCCGACAAGGCCAATGATCTGGCTTAGAAAGCCAAAAATCACCGAGTGGCCACCACCAGTCGACGACACGATGTCTTTGCGTGTGATTGAGTACTCTAACTCAACAGACAACGACGAGATGCGCAAGACGTCAAAGTACACCAAATCTGTGTGAATGCCACCTTCTGCTGTCACTAACATTACCGGCATTGGTGGTGCGCGACGTTGAAGCGTTTTCTCCAACGTTAGCTTCGTTCGGTGGGCCGTGGTAGCATCAGAGACCAAGTACGGTTCTAGAAGTCTTACAAGGGTCACCAGATAATCGATATCCACCTTCACTGCTACGTCACCTAAGCTAAATTCGAGCAGCTTGTACGTTCCCAGCCGAGCTTCCAGGTCAGCATCAAGAACCAGCTTCAAAAACGGCTCAGGTTTCTTTGCCCACGGACTTATCACTGTAGCCTGAACTTACAGGATTCATTATTACAGGGAACTTAGCAGTCGCCAACATGTTGTCTGCTTGGCAATGCAGCACCGAGAATGTCCATTCCAGCGACGCAGGGGCTTTTTGCACCTTCATAATATCTGCCGATGCGAAAAATACTTCCTGCGGAAAGCCATCCAGCAAGGAAAAGCCAAAACCCGCGAATGCAATGTCGAAAGAAGATGCGTAAAGCATTCGTCGGTGCTGGAGATCACCCTCCGAGTCCTGGGTTGTCAATCGACTAAGCTCTAGTTCCTTCTCAGCAATTTTGAGCACACGCGTACTCTCGTCAACAACGACTTGTACAGTCAACCTCACGGCGTGCTGTTTCTCGCCATCATGAGACACCCACATGGTGATGGGGTCCAGGTAGCCAACATAGTCAATGTCATATTTCTTCGTCTGCGCCTTGAGGGCATCCATATGTGACAGACGGAGCTCGACGTGGCGTTCCTTCGACAAAGGATTAAACCACGCAAAAGCGTGCCACGCCCCGGGTTTGATAGTAGCAGCTGTTTGCTTTTGCCCGCTGCTGAAAATAGATGACTCGCCCAACTGAGCGTAATCTATCGTGAACGGGGTGTAATTTTCGATGCGATACGGTGGTGCGCAAGACACATCTGTCAGAACTACATAGACGTACATGTCCACCACTTGCACACTCGCTTGGCAAATAAGATAGCGTTGGCGCACAGATGAGTAGACCTGTAAGTAGACGTCTCCAGCTGTGTTGATCGGAATCGCAAACGACCAGTTCTTTTTGTCAGCGTCAGTGCCCCATTCTTCTGAGAACGAGAACGAAATATAGCGCTGACTTTGCTCCACAGACTCGCCCTTTTTCAAGGACCCGAAGTGATACAGTGGTGTAGTCTGACTGTCCTCCAGAGCCAGATGTAACTGCTTCACATCATCTACACTTCGCTTGTGGAACATATCGTCGACCTTCTGCGGGTCCTTGTCGTGCGAGGCAAAACTCTGAATGTATAGCTTTTGGTTCAAGCGGTTTTGAACGAAATACCGGGGGCTTAACGTAAGCGAGACACCTGGTTGGAATAGACCATAAAGGACTTCCATTTCCAAGCCAAAAACGCTTGGACCACACACGATCTCACCCATGGTATTGATAGCTGTCGTGTTAATAGGTTCCGACCACTGCGCATTCTTGATTGCATGTTCCGAGAGCGCTGAAGCCTTAAACTGTATCCGGCATATTACCGAGCGCTTCCCATGCCTTTGGGCGGCGATTGAGGTTTGCAAGCGGTTTTAAGCTCAGACGATCATGCGGCAGCGACGTCATGACAGGGTAACTGAATGGTGCACACACACGCATGGCCTTGCACGAGTTTCGCTTTGCACCAGGCTCAGTAGACGCATAGTCAAATGCAAGCGACGTGTTGTCCACGATCCAGTAAGGGCTTGAAAAGCGTACGAGTCGAGGGCAGCCAGGAAGTGTGATTCGGTCAATGTTGAAGTGGAGGCCAACGCCGGCTTCTACACTTTCTCGCGACGTCGTAAACTGCTCGACTCCTTTGTGAATCATCATCAGAAGCGGTTTTGACCACGCAGACGTCACATGCTTGTCTGTGTTTTGCTTTTGGGCAACCAAACGAATCGACAAATAACCAGGATACTCTCCAGAAACACCGGATACTTCGGCATCGTGACCTGATTTCGCTACTCCGCTTAATACACCATCCGATGGTTTAGGTGTGCTTTCGCACCGTAATAGCGTATCTACCTTGGTGAATTCAGCCTTCATGTCCCTCGATGAACTCGACTTGTACTCGACAAATCGATATTCCATCTTATAGGGTAACGAGTTGCGTACCACAAACGGAGGAAGCAACGCTATTTCATACTCGAAATGCGAACGTAAGTGCCATCGTCGCACGATCATATTCGGAATGAGGCGCTTCACCACCTTTGTGCAAGTTTCCTCGGTTTGGCCATACACAATAGTTCCACCCCCTCGGCGCTGCTTCGTTCTCGCTTCCCGTTCAGCTTCGTGCTCATTGAGCTCTTGGATTGCCGTAGTAGATGTTAGCACGTCATTGTTCAAAGAAGTCTTTACAATCCAGTGTTCATGACTTCCAAGATGCGCGTAAAACTCCGTTATGCCCATCAATAGTGAGAGCGGCAATGAAATTCGCTCATTAGGTCGCAATTTAATGACGGGAGATTCCACCGCCTTTCGATCCTCCTTTCCTAAGCTCAGGTACTTCATCTCGTAACACTCCGAGCTGTGGTTGCAGAAGTACGTATTTGATCTTAGGACAATAAGCTGTTGTCGCGGGTTTTCCAATCGCGAAAACACTGTGACAAATAGAGATGATGGTGAAGCTTCTGCTGTACTCACACCAACGCTGACATTACCAAAGGAAGACAACTTCACCGAATTTTTACTTGTACCCCACTGATCAATTTCAAGTAAGTCTACTACAGCCTCGCCATCCTTCAAAGCTCCATTTTCAATGTGAGCGCGATTATGCGCGTCAATTGTGATTACCTCATCACTGCCGTTTAGTTTCAAGGAAATCTTGCATCCCGTAAAGTTCTGCACAAGACAATCTGTTTCTTTTTGCTTCTTTGCAGCAGTTGAAAGTTGAAAGCTGTCTTGATGCTTTTGCAGCCCATTCTGCTGAGCCTCTCCATCAAGGGCGTCCATCAGCGCACGGTAGGTCTTGAGGACGCTTGGAGTCACATTAATCTGAAATCGCTTCGCAGCCTCCAACAGAACAGCAAATCCGTTCTCGCCTGCACTCGAAGACACGCCGGCAACCAGTTCCCATGGCTCGATGATGTTTTCCATGTCGTTGGCAATTTCACTATAACAGGACGACGACATCTTGAAGCCGAACAACAGCGTCCAGTCGGTGTTCCCAGACATGGCCAGATCGACCCAATCTATGGGACCAATTTCGTCAATATTTTTTGCCACTGAACCTCATCGATATTTTTACATTTTTGATGACAAAATTACCACGGCAAAAGCGAGCAGACAGTTCAGCATCCATAAGAACTAGTCGCACGTTTCCCATTTTTACGTCTGTCGTGAAGTGCAACTCTTTCTTCACCAAGTTCATATTTTGTGTAAGCTTGCTTACCAAATTCTCTGTTTCCTCGATGGCTGCACTAAAAATACCGTCACGTTTTTTCTTTGCAATAACTTTCGCTGCGCTCTGGTACTCGCTGATACCTCCACAGCGCGTGGACGGCTGCAGTAGCCACTCATATATAGAACGGTCCGAGCAATTGTCTTCCATCGCAGGCAATACCAACGCATCCCAGATAAGGTTCGCGGCGTCATAGTTCTTGAGCAGCCGAACCAGCTTTTTTTGTAAATCCAGCGGATTTTGATTGATGATTGAACGATTCTTAATGTGAGCTTCACTCTCAAAAAGTTCCCAAAAGCGTCCCTCGAACGCAGGGCGCTTAATCCGCTCTGCGAGTTGTTCAGAAAATGTTATCTTCGTCTCGCATAGCTCGTTAATGACTTCAAACGAATGGTATTCATTTCCGCGCAGATTAAGGAAGCCGCTGAGAGCTTTGCTGCCGTTTCCTGGCCTCGAACCAGAAGCTTCAGCAGCTTTATCTGACAAAAGATCATCGCGCAAAATTGCGCGGAGCTCTTGAAATTCAAGATAGCCATTACCATCCTGGTCAATTTCCTTAAAGAGCTCGCGAACAAAGTACTCCAATTCACTTTTCAGCAATGTGTCGCCAACCTTGACCCGGCGCAGTAAGAGAAGAAGCTCTGCCAGCTCAATACAGCCGTTCCCGTTTTCATCAATTTCGTCAAAAAGTCGGTGCAAGCGATCGAGGACTGTGTCGACTTCCGCCTGGCGTCGAATTTCTTCCTGCTTTACACGACTTTTGAGCCGAAGCTGGGCTTGCTTGGGCGTTGTTGTCTGCACGTTACTGATGGCCTCTCCACAGGACGCCAATAACGACAAACTGAGGTCTGACCCAGCAACCAAGACATCTGGCATGTGCATCATTACACTCTGGTGACATATCAGAGGGTCCGTGACGTCTTGTTCTAGGGTAAACTGAAATACGATACTTGTTGGAGCTAAAATGGTTTCCGCTTCCTTAGCATCATTGACGTACTGGGCGCCGATATTGAAGCTGTGAACGTTAAGCTCCAGCAATTCCTTCACTTTTGAGCTTTCGAGATGCATGCTCAATGAGGCAGGCATATCCACGCAGCAATCTACCTCGTAATCGCTTTGCCATGTCTCCGCGTTAATATCCATAAAAAGTGATTTTGAGTACGACTGAGTGGGTAGCAGAACGATGTGACAATCGTTCAAGTTGACATCCAGGCTCAACAGCATGCCGCCAAGCAAGCTAAACGGAGACATTGTTATCTCTTTTCTCACCATGTCTACCTCGCTTTTAGCAACCTGGACTGCGGCAGGCGATAACTCAGAGTGAGAAACTGGTACGAAAGGCGGCCGCGCTGTCGACAGTACTTGAGTTGTCTTTGTGCTCAGCCGATCAACAAACAGCAGGAAACGCTCCAGCGCACCGACTGAGAGTACCAACTTCATGTTGTTCACTGTACCACACACATTCTGCTTACCACTTTCAAGCTGACTCACATGGGCCGTAAGCATCTGTGGCGGCGACATTGCGCCAGACTCTGCAGCTACCTTGCTGAGGTCCGCAAACATTAGCTTTGCCGTTGGAGAAACATAATTCGAAGCCGAAAACTCGACGTTAACGACGAATGTTGCTTGGCCCAATGCAACCTCTACGTCTAGCTTCTGCTTCTCATCGCCTTCTGCAATGGTGAACGAGCGCATATTGACGCCAAAGCCGATCACGACCATCTCAGAAACTTGACGGCCTCGTTCAACGAACGCAACACTCATGTTATCCCAGCGTAATGTAATCTGCATTGCTTTAAACATGTTGTTGCTTGTCTTGGCAGCATTCTCCTTCACGATTGCAATGTACTCGGAAAGAGAGAGCTCGTCTTAATCACGACGGTAGTACTTGGCCAATCCAGTGGATCGACTACGCAGCTTGAGAATTTTGTCCAGCGACATGACTGCTTCAAGTTCGCGTAGCTTGTCATTGCGATCCTTTTTATCCTGAGCTGACAACAACTTGTTGCTATCCACTTGGTCGTAATTGTCCATGTAGAAAGCTTCATCCTTCTTTAACAGCGGGGTTCAAACAGTCTCATCATGTTCTAACGCACGCATCGACTGCACCAGAACCTGGTAATCCATGTATGGCACAACTAGATCGCGCAGCACTCCCACAATCAGCTCCCGCGTGACTGTAAGGTTAGTGATCGACGACGATACAAGCTCCACCCGCGCCACACGGTTCGTTACCGGAATAGGAGCAATGTTCTCCACAATGCCCAACAACCGTGGCATGGGCGGTACCTGGAGCTTTAGGTCGAGATTTGCCAAAGACAACAGTGGTATTTCACCAAGACCGATTCCTTCGTTATCTTTCAATAAATCTTTTCTCTTTTCCACCCCGGTCATGTCATCGTTCGTTTCATCATCCACAGTAGCAGCACAGACGTTTACACCCTTGACAGTTAATCAAGTGCTCCATCGAAATCTCCTCCGACGTCAAACTAAGCTGCAAAGCTTCCTCTGCATTAATCATGTAGGACGTAGGATAGTAAGTCAAACAATTTCATGACAAAAATCGCGCGTGTCGGCTTCAAAGACACGGGATTGAGCTGGTCGTGGCCACGTCTGCATCCTCACTGTCCTTATCCTCAGTCTCACAATCACGGTCGTCCACAGCAGAATCTCCAGGCATCAGACCTGTGACACCAATTCTTACATTGCTCACATGGACGTCTACTTGCGCCGCAATCTGCTGCAACACGCAATCTTTGAAGGCAAAAGCTTTCGATGTTGTCACCTGCTCCTCTTGTTTCTCTCTCAGCTCTGTCTTGGTGCGCTCTGCAATGAGTTGAGTGACCCAGTTGTTCGCCTCGCTCAGCTTCATAGCCACGGCATCTTGCAGCTCAAACACGCCTTCCGCATTGGGATCCACCATCTGACCATCCACAGCCACACCTTCTAATTTGACCACAACTTTCCACGTCGTAGCTAAATGGATTACCATTTTCTTAATTGTTACATGCTTCTAGCCCTTGCTTCGTAAATGCCAACGTCTTGAGAAACTCGCTTTGTAGCGTCACATAAAACAGTGAGATGGTCACGCCACGCAGTTGCCCGTGACCGTCCTGGTGCCACGTCGTCCACGCATGTCAAACGAGCCAAGATAATACTCAATCTGAATGCTGTCAGTCAAATAAACGGCCGTAAACTTATGCACAAGCCTCGAAAGCAGGGGCCGTGATCCGTGCTAGGCCGGGCACAACACATAGCGACAGCGACACACTCACGGAGAGTAACGCCATCACTAGCATCCCAGACATGATAAATGCGCGGTTGAAGTGATTAAAAGGCAACTTCAACCAACTCGAAAGTTTCACAAAGACCAACACTCTTGGATCTGTTTTGGAGCTTGCTTTTCGTGAAATGACCTAGAAATTGTATGCGATACTTTATCTCCTGTGAAACAACATATGCATTTCGAGAGGGACCTGATTTTTCAATCAAGTTTGACATGATAAGCATGCCACCACGACATCGCAAGCTATTGACACTGGCGTTCCTTGTGCGAAATGGCGTTGTGCCTCATGAAGAGAGACATGTTCTATTAGGGTTAAAGAAACGAGGGTTTGGTATAGGGAAATGGAATGGGTTTGGAGGTAAAGTAGAACGTACGGACACTAGTATCGCGTCAGCAGCAGTAAGGGAAATACAAGAAGAGGCCAATGTGCAAGTGAGTGTTGAGGACCTCGAGTCACGTGGTGTATTGCTGTTTACATTTGAACAAAGCAATGAAGTGATGGTACGCAGTGGGATAGAGATGTTGTTATTGGGTTAGGAGAAAAGCTCGGGGGGTAGAAGAAAAGCTTGGGGTAGGAGAAAAGCTCGGGGGGTAGGAGAAAAGCTCAATAGTATTGCTGTTGTAGGAGGTGCATGTTTACGTGACCGAGAAATTTTCGGGTCAGCCATCGGAGAGCAACGAGATGAAGCCGCAGTGGTACGACGTCTCTCGGATTCCGTTTAACACCATGTGGGCAGACGATCGCTTCTGGCTACCACATGTACTGAGTGGCAAGAGCGTGCAAGGAAACTTCCGCTTTGCAGCAGACGAAGATTCGCTGCTAGACTAATAGCAGAAGAAAAACATAAAGATAACGGAATTCATTATCATATTTATTTAGAATTTAATACAAGAGCTGAATTATATGGAGCAAATTGTTTAGATTTAAATTTTGAAGAAATTCAATACCATGGAAAATATGAAGTAGTAAGAAAAAAAGATGCAGCAATTAGATATAATAATAAAAAGATAAAAATTTTATAGCTGAACCAGAATTAAATGTAATTGATGGAGAATTATATTTAGATTTTAAAGAATTTTTAACAAAATTACATGAAAAGCTGGAATAAATGAAATAAAAAATTATTTAATAAAAAATCCAATATTAATGACAAAAGATGGTAGTAATCTTTTAAAACAATTAAAAGAAATTGACTAGACTATGAGCTAAATGTGATGACTCTGACGGCAGTTTGAGCTTTTCAGCAGCATAAGAAAGCACGTATCATGCAAAGGTTACTTTTGATGAATCTATACGAAGACATGTAAACGTCTCGACATCATACAAATAATTGAATTGGATCGATCAGAGAATTGTAGTCAATGTGAATATCATTGAATATCTCCACAACAGTATTTTCCTCACTTCGGCCTCCAACTGTATCTACCTACGGGTGTGTTTCTATGATTTGGATTATACATCTATAGACTTTGATATTCGCAAATAATATGTCACCACTCTAAAGACCATTGCACTCACTGACTCCTTGGAAGAGATGAACGCGATGGTGAGTAGAATGGCATTCAGTCTAGCAAGTGAAAAAAATTGGACTTTTCTACGAACAAAGAAAAGAACAGAGTGTATCTTGCAGCAAACTGGACGAGCTTAATTGATGAACAAGACAAACATGTGCGACCACCACATCACTCCTTGACCGCACAGCGCCGGAACAAGAGACACAGCAGTGCAGACGGCTTCTGGACAGCACAAATGCACTTCCTGCAGCCTTTGTACCGCCATGCTTACTTTATGCTTCATACTATACCCATTCGCACACGTTCAGAGTACAAACGGGCTGTTGGATGTGCAAATCATGCAATGAATGCATACAGAAGCTTCACAAAATAGCGTGTGATGGATGATAGATGGATGGAGGGCGATCAAATTTGGAACTGAGTCGAATGATGCCGTCGTGGTTCAGAATGACTGGTGTAGACTTGAGGCCTTAAATGCAATGCTTCACTCTATGATGTCATTCGCATTGCGCTCAATATTCCACCACCCTTAGTCGCGTCCATCAGCTCTTCTGCTTTTGTGTTTCTTCATCTTGTGACTCTTCTTATAGTGACTGTGACGACTGTGCTTCTTCAACGACGACGAGCTCTTTTGTCGATTCTGTGCCTCGTCATCATTATCATCACTAAAACTCCCACCTTCTCTATCAATTCTCCTTCGTTTCTTCTCAAAAGTTGAAAAATGTTTACAACGTCTCTTCTTCTTCTTCTCGTCTTCTTCTTCATCTGATACACTTGAATCTTCTCCATAAATCGCAGCTAATGTTTGAGGATTCAAACCACTACCACTGACACTTACATTGCCCAATTTAGACTGTGATCGATGGCTCTTACGCATTATTTTATCCCGTGACGCGTCCAGTTTCTTACGAAACTCGTGTGTATGTTGTTGAAACGACTCGTTCTCAGCCTCAGCCTGTAATCTTTGTAGCTTAGAACCTACAAGCTGATCATACATCTTCTGTAGTGCTGATTCAGCATTTGTACTCTTGATTACGGATCGTCCATTATCCTGAAGCTTGTGACGCTTGCATGTCCCCGTATAGCACTGAGGACACGTTGACATAATGGACAAAAGCTAAGGATGAGCGATGGCTTTTATTTCGATGAGCTGGAACGAACGGTTGTTCTTGTAGAGGATATTTTATAATTGTTGCTCACGAAACGTATGTCTGTGTATTTCGAAAGAGAGCGACGGAGAAATACGCCCGTGGTTTGGAAATGGTAATTTCTATGTGAACCAATACTCCTGACAAGAACCTCCAACAATGCTTACTACTGACAAGAACCTTCAACAATGCATACTCTTCGTGCTGGATTGATAACAGTATCAGGGCATCAGCACAAGTTGTTTATCTTGATGAGGTTCAAGAGATGGAGCTGCCATTGTTGTTTGATCATTCACATACGTGTCTATACATCCACGCCCACAAATGGAATCACATTGGTCCACATAAACATCGAAACGATGTTTTATGGTACAAACAATTGCGATTGACTGGATGTTCGGAATTGAGATTCCATCCAGTGGTGTACTTGCCGTTATAGTAACAGTTTGGGCCATTGCAATAGCAGCGAAAGCTACGAAAGTGGCAATCACTGTCGGTTGAGCAACCGTCCAAATGGTACGTCAAATGGATCATCATCTTTTCCTTGACCACGAGTTAATGGAAATTCAAATTTTCCATGTACTGGATAATGGTCGGAGAGATCAATTAATGCCATTTTCATAGTCCTCTTTACACCAGTCCAATCAACTGTAAAACGAGGGACCTGATTTACAAAAGCTTGGAGTGTTGGTACTGTGCTTGGTTGCTGGTAAGGAGCTACAACACAAGCGATTTCATCAGTGGTAAGACAGACACGCCACCATTGTTGCAACTAGTGTGGGGTGCTTGCTACCTTTTCCATACAGAACGTAGTCAAGCCACTCCAGTGGACAGCAGGGGCAATAGCACATGTTGTCCAAATCAGGCTCAGTAATCTCAGTGTGGACACCGCATGTCGTTCGGGTGAGCAACGATGGGTAGAAAACGCTATCCTATTTGCACGCACCACCACACAAATTTCAGAGGAAGCACATGGAGGCATTAAGTAATAGCATAACAAACCGTTGCTGGCCCCCAGTTTTGGACGTATTGTGCAAAGCATTTGTTGCTGATGGCAGCTCCGTCACGTCCAACCAGCACGTTCGTGTGCGGACTGAAGCAAATTCATTGCACGTTCGAGAATGAGTTCGAGTCGATCCACCATCACACAATTGCACGTGACATACTCGCTCGTGAAAACCTGTTTGCCAATCTGACGAGGTTCATTCGCTTGAAGCAGCTCTACTAAATGTGCCACTTCATTTCCAAAAGTGTGATTGTCTACATTGAAGTCCCCTGCAAAGATCAATGGCTAGATGCAGACAAAAGCAAACAACCTCGCATCGTGATCAGCACAAGCGGCGTATGATAAGAGTTCATCACTTCCCACCTCGTGATACGGAATGCCAATAGCATCAATAAACTGCCGCATCTGTCCAGCGTATAGACAGATAAGAAAAATAAATTCTAGTAGCTAACAAGCATTGATATTCCATGACCTCCTTACCTGCTTTGCTTGCTGAATCCGATCCGCCCGTCCTTCTGGCGTAGACCACGCCTAAATTGCCATCACATGCATGGACTCAACAACTCTCTTTCTCTGCTCAAACCAAAAGCTTAACAACTTTGAGTACCTGCATATGGGTAGCAAACACGTTAAAAATCTTGTGCGTATCATTGACAGTTTTTAGCAACCGAGCATATTTGACACCCTTAGCTGCTAAACAGTCCGAGTAATGACAAGCATTGTGATACACATGCTGAGCTTCACGAATGATCGGCCACTTGGACACCACCATTACTCCTCCGTTTAGTAAGCTAGTGAATGGATCCGGGTCATGAAGAATTGTCGTGGAATAATTGAAACCAAACTTTTGAAATTGAGCAAGCATTTCGTTTCGCTCAGTTTTGATATCGGCTTCTGCCAAAGTCACAACATCGATGGTTGGAGAAATCTGATGCAATGACTCGGGAACTCGTTGCAATCGTTCACTCTGCCCATCCTTAGAGACTTCGTACGGACGTCCAAATAAATTGTACTATCAAAATCAACATGTTACGAGTGATTTAGGTGGGAGAAGATTACAACGTACATGTATCAATATATATGATGATACCTGAAGAACTTCAAAGGAAATGGTAGAATCAGGAGCAGACTTTACATGATAAGGAGTTATTCCACTACTCCATACAGGTACATTGCCAATCATTTTGTCGACGTGAAAGTGGCCCTGAACGGCGTAAAGTAACAAGGAAGGAACCAGCGTAAGAAGAGCGAGCGGCATTCGGAATAAACGAGTCGTTCGTGATTTGTTTGAGATCGTTATTTTCTAGCTTTTCTATCATTTTAAGCATTGGTTTATTTCCACTTAGGTACGATAGCACCAATTTTCTCTAATTTTCTCTCATTCAAGAGTTTGCCGGCTCAATGGTAATGGTAAAGCTTTTTTGTGCGATTGTTGGTGTAGAGGGGAGCGTGTTCTCTGTAGATATCGATGCATCTCAGTCTGTGGCCGACTTGAAAGACGCGATTAGAGCTGAAGAAAACCGAACGACTTAAAGGATGTCGATGCAGTTAGGCTGCAGCTCTTTCTGGCCAAGAATGACGAGGGCGTTTGGTTATCGGACGAAGAACCTGCTGCGTTGGATTTAGAAAGAGGAAGAACACATTTGGAAATTCAAAACATGATTAATAGAGAGAATATAAAGGCGACAAAAACTTTACAGTATTGGCTGTTCGACATGAATAAAATGCCTGAGCCATCAAGTGACCAAATTCACGTGCTGGTGATAGTTCCGCAGCCCAAAATGGACTGGAAGTGTGCTTTACAGAGGCCTTTCCCGTATGATCCCAAGGACAAATATGTATCCTTTGAGAAGGCGGATGTATGGGATTTTGGAGCTTTTCGTAGCCAGCTAAAGCTGTACTGCAGGCCCTCCTTTCATCGGCAAATCGATTTCATGCGTGAAAAAGTCCTGGAAGAAAAACATGTTGGCTATGTACTCGGTCCTCCTGGAACGGGAAAGTCAACCGCCGCTATGGTTTTTGCGTTAGCTGTTGACAGGACCAGATGGGATGTTATCTGGATTCACGTCGAAGGTAAAATTTTAAAGTGTGTGCATATGAGTGGTCAAGAGCGAAAGACTGGAACCATTGATATTGCGAAGTTAACGGCATTGCTGGAATCCATCAATGCCCAGAATTGTTTGGTGCTTGTTGATGGCTGGACTTATACGGAAAGTAGAGGAGATCTGGAAGGCACGTGCTTCCTATGGTATACCAGTGCAAATGTTCCTGGAGAGAAACGACTTGTGTTTATATGCTCTGTGGCCTCTCGTGGAAAATCTAGTGCAGATTTTGAGTATGATTGGAAGATATTGGAGCATGAAGTTTGGTCCTGGACATTGGATGAATACCTTGACGCAATTAACGACAAAGAGTTTTTCAACAACGTGTTGCCAAAACTTGACGCGACAAGTAACAATACATCGTCGACTAATGCGATGCAACAAGCAATGAAGAAAAGGCGAAAAAGCCAGTCTGACGACCCTTTCGATAATCGCGCCTTTTTGTTGGAGACTAAGTATCACTATGCAGGCGGGTCATGTCGATGTATGTTTCTGTATACGACGGCAGAGGTGATTCGCCAGCTGAATCGTGCTATTGAAATGCTACCCGATTATAGTACTGCGACTCTTTCAAGTGGTAGCCGATCGCCTCTTATCGTCAACCGCCTGTTTGCGTTGTTCGAAAGTCATACTTCCACGGGGGTAATAGCCCCGCTGATTAGTCGCTATACTGCAATTCAAATTGGAATCAAAACCGGTCCGGATGAGATCAAACATTTTTTTTTCAAGTATCGAGAGTTTGCAAACCCAGCATTTAGTGGATGGATGTTGGAGATGGCTTTTTTTATATCTTTACGACATGGCGGTCTCGAAATATTCGATGAAAGTAATAACATTGTTGATAAGTGGGAACAAGCTACTGTTGTGGATTCAGATGGAGTACCTGAACTCAAGAAGGATGGCCCTGTTTGGATTAGACCCCTTCAATGGAACCAAGGTGGATACGATGCTATTATGGTGTGTAAGCAAACTAGATTCGTGAGGATGGTACAAATAACTCGTGCAAGCACGCACACATTTCGTATCGATTACTTCTATTCGTGGCTGAAGAAGCTTTCGGAAACGAACGATAGTTTTAACGTTGGCAGACTGGAGATTGTCTTTGTTGTCGCTAAAGACAGCCTACAGAATTTTACAATATCGAATGCTACTGGTCAAGGACTCCTGGAAGCGTTTGGTTGGGAGAAAAACACGGAGATTAGTCGAGTACGGATAGTTGGGATGCGAGGGTTAATAAGTGACTTCAAATTGTAGTGTTGTCTACTTGGATGTGCTGGTTGTATCTCTTTTGAAGGTGTTGCGTTGCAAGTCCAATATCTTCAGCAAATTGCAGCAATCCCTTGTGACTCAGATGAGAAAGATCGGACAGCGACAACACACTTCAATATCGAGAAGAATGTTTTGAGAGTAGAATAACAGACTTAGAGAGGTAGCAAGTATTTTGCGAACTAAGGACCTGAGTATTCGTCCATTTTATTTACTCTTTTCACTCCTATCATCACGCTTTGTGAGTTCAACTCGTGAGGCGTCGTGAAATTAATTTGTTCGTCACAAGTTGTGAGACTCTAAAACGCTCGTACGCGTAGATCCGTTTGATGTATAGTGTGGTTTGAACAC